ATTTACATCAGATAAGAAGGTTAATAAATATAAATATAGAAATATGAATAGGAATAGTCTTTCACTGCGCAATCTGCAGCTTAGCCGTTACAATAATATATTTAGCGCATCACATGACTTCCATAGTAAGTTCGTTCTAATTAGTCAATATTAGCTGGGTAATTGATAGGTCCAAGATTTACTATCTCACACTATTTTTTAATAGTATAATAATATTATGTTAGAAAACAGAAATAAATGAGATCCACTAACAATAAAGGCATTCATCATTCAAATGCTCAACCACACCCAATTACTATAGTCTTTAACATGTTGGTGCTTTGTGCTTTTTTCAATTTGTCTTTCTCATCACATTAATGCAAGGTGTCATTATTACTACATATGTAAACTTGATAAGTCAGTTTACTTGATAAGTTGGCCAAAATTTTCACCCCATTTTCTTAATATTTAAGCAATTTAATTTGATAAGTCAGTTTACTCAATAAGTTGGCCATATGAGCTCACCCCCACATGACTGACTTATCAAGTTTACATATGTATTACTGTTAAAGCCTTGAAAGATAGCACCCCCTTTTTATAACATGATCGACAGTGTATAAATTTCAGTGTGTAACTAATGCAGATTTCTACAAATTTAGAAACCATATGCAGAAAACTACTAATGTATGATGTTACACCTGCACATTTCACACATTGAATTTTATACTTGCTCACATTGGAGGGATGTTTAAGCTATAGACTGTTATTCAGTATTGTAGTTCACCCTACTAACCCATTGGTGAGAAAAATTCATTGCCTGCGTGGGCATTATGCTGTATGGGCTGGTCCTTAAAATGTAGTTATTTAGTACCACACAGAGTTTATTTGGCATGATGGCCACACAAAAATGATAACTTTGCATATGTACTGATATTATGTGTATTTTTCCATGATGTGTTTTTGATATAACTGAGAACTAATACATTATTTTTTTATTTTAGTTTGAAATTACTTTTGAGGGGGTCTGTAGTCTTCATGATCTTGGTGTTGTTAAAACAAATAGAGAGAAGCCTCTTAACTTAAATCAAATTAAGGATAATATAGAAAAGCTGAAAGCCAAACTTAATAGAGATACAACCCCATTCTATCAAGGGTTGTATTATAGTGTAGATAAGATATCTGTTGACGAATTATCCTGGAAAGATCCCTTGGCTAGCCAGGTTATTAGCGATAATTTGGATATTGTGGAGAAATTATCTAAAGGCTTAAAAAAAGGATTCATGGTATGCATAATCTTATGAGGTTTCAATTTTTTACATTTGCTATTAATGCTATATGATACTATTTATGGATTCTTTTTTTAGAAACTGGCTCATAATATGACTCCCAGTAGGTCACAGTATATATATACTGCAACCTACTTACATTAGACTGTTACCTACTTATGATTAGACTGTTACCTACTCATTTTTGGGTACCCGTTTTGGTGCCTATTTGGCTTGATATTCACGAATTCGTCGTCATTTAGGTTATGATTGATTCACGAATTTGTCGTCATTTGGGTTACGATTTGACCCACGAATTCGTCGTTGTTTGGGTTACGATTTGACTCACGAATTCGTTATCACTTGGATGACAATTGATCCACAAATTCGACATCATTTGGATAACGATTGATCCGCGAATTCGTTGTCATTTGGATGACGATTGATCAAAAAAATCTGTCTCCGCGATTTCAGTCTCCGCCATGTATCACTTCAGGAAAATGCTTTAGAGATGGTTTCTGATATGCGAAAAAGTTATTGACTAGAATTTTTCGGTTAGATTTAGGTGTATATCAGGAACTTGATCTGAGCCGTTTTTATCAAAGGACAATTTTTTTTTGGAAATGCTTTAGAGCCTGTTTCTGATATGCGGAAAAAGATATCGTTGGAATTTTCGGTTAGATTTTGGTTAGATTTTTATAATTGTTATGCTATTTGGCTTTATAGGCCAGCTGTAAAAAAATGTATTTCCTAGGCAAACTGCCAACTTTTTCGATTGTGGGAGATGAGGCATGAAATGCCGAATTGGCAATCCGTATTTTGGCTTTGTATGTTGCATTCGAATTCGAGGATGAGGCACGAAGTGCCGAAATAGCAATCCGTATTTTGCCTTGTGCAACGTTTTCGATTGCCGGATTTGAGGCACGAAGTGCCAAAATAGTGTTCATGATCTAGCTTTGCATGTCGCATTCGAATACCAATCGAGGATGAGGCACATAGTGCCGAATTGTTATCCTTTATTTGGTACTACCCCAAAGCATAATTTTTATAAAATATATCTATATTAATTTTACCTTGGGGTAGTACCGTGAGTACGATATGTTTTGGATCTCTAGAAAGCTTTCTCGCATAGTTGATGCTTTCAGGTAATACTACTTCATGTCAAAAAATTGGTCTATGCTTTGCCGTTTTACTATCAAAAAATTGGATCATACTTTTACGTATCACTTTTGCGCCATAATTCCATCACATGAATTTTTATTTAAAGTTTTGAATTTTCTGTGTAATTTATACCTCTTGGTTCCACTCACCTACCTAGTTATAAAGCGTCATAATATGCATTCGTATAATCCACTTCTACTGCCGGATACGATCACAACCCTCTCACAAGAGGAGGATGACACTTCTCTTGAAACGATCTTGCTTGAATATGCTCAATCTTGCGATCTACCAGCTAAGTCTCAGAATGATTCGTTCAATAATTCAAAAAGCTCATCTATGGAAGTGCAATCATTAATTGAGTTTCAGGATTTAACAGACCTTGATTACAAACCTAGTAATACAAATCATTTTTACTTTCAAAATCTACTTCCATCCGATAAGACAGGGAAAGCTAATAATAAAGATTATGATGATGAAGACTATGACGAAGACTATGATGAAGACTATGATGACGATGTTTACAATAAATGGTCGTTTGAAAAAGATATTGCACTTTTCGAAGCTTATCGTCCAAAAGAGATTAATTCTAAATATATAGTCCGGACAGCAGGAAAAGGTTTTACGGTAATTGATCATCCTTCCGAAGTTTATGGAACGCCAGATACACATGAATGTATTGATGGGAACAAACCCCTTCGCTTAATTCTTGATATTGATGCGAGACAAAAACTTGATCCCACTAATCCTAAAATTCCTTACTTAGACAACAAAAAAATTACTCGTCAAGATTTGATATCGAGGATTTTAGATGTTACTGTAAATATAATATACTCCACTTTTGGCGTGGTACCATTAAATAGTTTCGCCTTGGCAAGTTCCTCAGATGCAAACAAATGTAGCTGGCATATTATTTATCCTTACGCTCGTTTCGTAGATTATAGAGATCTTAAGGGCTTTACGGAAAAAGTTATCGAATTAGTCGGAAAACCTTACTCGAAGTTTATTGATGTTGGCCTTCCCAAATCACGTTTTAGTCTTCGGCTCCTTGGATCGGCAAAAGAAAAAAGAATTAAAAGACCTGCGATATCTTCAGTCAAGAATAGATTTCACGAGCTAGAGGATTATTTGGTTCAACCCAAATTGAATTGTTCTGTGATCTGGCCACGAACCTTTTCTTCTGAAAAACCGGCCGATAAATTCCTGCCTATCGAAGATGAAAATGCACTAGTTAAAGGAGCTAATTTGGTTATTGCAAAATATGGGTGGCTCGAGATTGGAACTATCGGGAAGGGTTTTATAAATTTTAGCAGAGCTAGTTCCACTAATGCGCAATTATCTGAAGAATGCCCTATATGTGGCGTTAAACATGAAAAAAATCAATTATACGGGTTTCTTCTAAAAGACGGACATTTTATACTCAAATGTTTTCGGCAAAAACAATATAAACCAGATCACAAGGGATTAGTATTTGGCGAAGTAACTAATGATCTATCAAGACCTAAATGGGGATTAAGTGAAAGAATAGTCAATATCATAAAGCATCCACATCCACTTGTAGATTTATCCGGGAAAAATATTAATGTTAAAGAGATGGAAGATGCACCAGAAGCTTATCCGGATTTCTCGAGTGAGGAACCCACTACAACCCTAATTCACTCACCTGTTGCCACAGGAAAAACAAAAACTTTAAGAGAAATTCTTGATTCTTTAGCCAAAAGTGAAGCGAATTTGCCTTGCTTTAACTGGGTTTCATATCGTAAAACTCTTAGCAATGAGACTAAAGCTAAAGTTGAAGTATTACAGAATTCAGGACTTCGCGTGTGCCATTATCAAGAAAATGAAGGTGATTTAGCTATACGTGACTGGGATGTTATCATTGTCCAGGTCGAAAGTACACATCGTCTTTCACTTTATGGAGGTCGTTCTTATGTAGTTATTTTGGATGAATCAAATGCTATCATGCGTCAAATGTCAAGTGGAATTCATGCACGAGAATCCGAAAATGCTATGCGAGATTTGTTGAAGTCAGCCGTCCATGTTGTGGCGATGGATGCTTTTGCAAATGAATCGACTTTGGCCTTCTTAAAACAATATCAAGGCGAAAATATACGAATTTTTGATAATAAATATCGGCCACGCGAAGGTGAATCTGTAAAAATTCTTTATGACCCAGACAAAGGATCAGAGGCTATACGTAGAGGCCTTAGGATGCTTCAAGAAAGTAAGCGCGTGGCCTTTTCTATGACTTCTTGCAAAAAAGCTCGAGCTTTGGCACTTCAAACCTACAAATTACGAAAACCAGATGGCTCACAAATTTTAACACGTGTTTATTTTGGTCAAATGGATGGAAAGCAACGTCAAGATGACTTCGCTAATATTAATGCTACTTGGAGTGGTCTCGATTGTGTAATTTATACAAGCACCGTAGAAGCTGGTATCTCCTTTGAAATTTCTAATCATTTTGATGCGGTTATAGGAATAAGTAATATTAATACAGGAGTACATGCTGAAGCTTTTGCACAAATGCTTTATCGAATTCGTGATTGCCCATATCGCATTATTTCTCTTTACAATAGCAAAAACCATTCTGAGATTTTTAAAGAACCAAATCGTGATTTTATTCGTGCAGAACTTTCAGCTTTAAGACCCGGAGATTTACCAACAACAGTAAAGGGAAATCGTGAGTGGGATAAAATCGCCGATTGTTATGCACTTAATTCATCTCCAGTGGTAGAAACCTATATCGAAGTTGAATATCAGAGACGTTTATCTGCTAAATACTTTCCGGAAATTCTTTGTAGTCTTATTGCTAGTACTGGAACATCTCTCGAGTTAATGACATTAGAAGACACCAGCTTGGCCAAAGCTACTCGCATAGAAGTATCTAATACAATCAAGAAAGTCGCGAAAAAAATCAAAACTGCTGATGCGGAATTAATAACTAATTCCCCAAATATTAGTCCTGATGATGCTGAAATTATTAAGCAAATATCTACACGTTCATTCACCGATAATATGACTTTACAACGCCATTATTTATGGAAGACTTATGCTTCAGGTGATATCGGAGGTAAAGATGATATTCGAGATTGGGGTATGGATAATACCGGCTGGACTAAACTTTGTAATGTAGACTTCGTACAAAGATTTAATAATCCCGAACCTTTACAACATTTCAGGAGACTGGTATATTTCCGAAGACAAGGTTCTAATGCAATAAAAGCTTTGGAAAATCTGAAAATCAAAGAAGATATGCAATGGGAAGAATCACGCGATTCTTTAGATCCGGCATCAAATGATTTGCGTAAATCTTATTCAGCAAAACAATGGGAGGCAGTACATGACCTTTTTCAATCATTGGGTTTTTCTGATATTGATGATGCGAAGATTCTCTCAGGCGATGATGTGGCAAAAGCTTTCGAACAATCACGGGAAAAAATCGTTAAAATTCGACAAGATGCAGTGTTACTCTTTAATTTTAAGACCAGAGCTAAAGGAACACCTGACCTTAATGCTACAATAAAATTTATTAATGCGATAATGGGTAAGTGGTGTGGTTATACTGTTAAGAGTGGGGTAAGTTACGTAGGTCCTAAGGGACAACAAGTAAGGAAAAAAACGTACCGGATTGATCGCCAACCATATAATGATGTTGGCTTCGGAGATAAAGGTGCACCAATACTTCCACCATATAGACCGAGGACAGCTGATGAGGTTCAGGAACTCTTCGATGTAATAGATGATCCTATTGTTGAAAAGAAGCAATTAAGCTCAAGTTCCAATTCCGATTATATTGTAGAACCAGATTATGTTGTAAAGTAATCCGTATGGAAAAAAATATCTATTGACTTATGTGATTTTGCCTATCACTACTGTTCAGATTTTTTCGTTGTCCTATATTAAGTATTTGAAAAATCTAAATCGAAAAATAATGTTTAGTCTTGTCCATTGATTGGATTGGGGCACTCTTCATTGAGACAAATATCAGCGAAGCAGGCACGCCAGTTTTTTTACTTTCATGCCAGAAATGCTTGTAAATTTCATCATGAATCCTACATATTCCGATACGAGAATTGGTTAGCTCGTTACAAATAGGGCACAATTTTTTGGGACGTGATCTGAAATGTCTAGAGCAACCTCTGCTACACCAGCATCCTTTCCCACAGATCGTTCCATCACTCTTGATATATTGGCAGGATAGACGATGTTCCATATGAGGTAATTTTGATATTATTATGTGTTAAATTTTCCTTTCACTATTTATTACAGGTAAATCAGATAAACATTCAAAAATGCGAAGTATATTCCAAGACCACTTAACTGAATGTCTACTCGGATCTCTCATTTGGGGTAGTCATATCTCCTGAGATCTATAAATGAAGGATCGGGTAATTAATTTCAATTTGAAAGAATAAGTAGGTCAATAGATAATCACGATCTACTTGTCAAATATATTATCAATATGATCATGGCAACTGCCTCAAAAACCCGAAAGCCCAGAACTAATAACTTTACCTCGATTTTGGACCTGTTCCTAGAAAAATATAACTTGTCCACCAAATCTAGCCCATCTCAATTACGTGTCTATGCTAGTGAACTCGGTGCCATGTTACCAGATTGGAAAGCTCGCAAAAGTGTGAAAGAAGCTCTTCGCCGACGCTTATTCAAAGAAGACCAGATCAAGGCTCTTGTACCGGATAAAAGGAATGAAAAACTTACTATCAAAGAGAGAGCTCAATACTGTGCGAAATCTGGAGATCCATATGATATTTACTTACATGCTTTAGATTTAATCAAGACAAAAAATGATAGTGATGAAGAAATTGTCGCATCCAGCTCACGTCTTACATTATTTCGTAAGGAATTGAAAGAAGCTGGAGTTGATTCTAAAGTAATTGATATATATGCTAAATTTTCAGCACTTACTCAAGATTCTAACGAAATTCAGAAGAAGCAACTTGTACAGCGATTACCCAATGCTCCTAAAACCCCTAAACACTTCTCCTTAGAGGAGGGACTTAGAAGAATTCAAAATATTGATACTACTAAAATTCCCACTATGCAGGATCTTGCGGATGTGATTATGATGTTGAGCATGAGACCCGCTGAAGTTACTACTCTACGTATTATCCATTGTGAACCAGACCCTCCGGAGTGGTATAAACCCGGTTATTCTTGGTATTGTACAGGATATATTAAGAATAAGGGAGAAAATAAGGTTAATCCTGAGCCTCGACAATTCCTTTCCATGGAAAAGGATCCAGAACGTGCAAGAGAATTACTTACTTGGATTCAAGATGCCATATCAATGAAAAAGTTACGTGATCCTGTATATAGTGATAATGGAAAACGCAATATTAGAGCATTTAGCAAATTTTTAAATGCATATGGTATTACTACCAAAAGATTGAGAAAAATAGGGAGTAAACATGCTTCTAAAGTTCATGGTAGTCAAAATCCAACGGCCCAACATCTTAGTTTACTTTGTAGAATTGCAATGAGACATAAGATCAACCGTTTTGATTCTGGAACTTATTATGCTGAGGGTGACACTTCTTCTGATTCCGATACCAATCCTGATACTAATACTGAACCCGAACCTAAATCTCAGCCTAAGAATAACGATCTTTCGAAGGAAGTGCACAGAGAGCATTATAATCCTTTTGATACCCAACTCGCAGAAATAGATTCGATGTTAGCAGAAATGTGATGCAATCCAACTTGTAATCAAAAAGACCTATAAAGCTATTATATCAGGACTTACTGATATCGGCAAATTTTTTCTTGATTACTCATCATGGATTGCGGGTGATAGTAGATATAATGGAAATAGATAAATAATCATTAGTTATTTTTTTCTGCTAGAGATATAGTTTATAATATATCAATAGTAATTTTGATTAATATGGTATGGTACTTAACAAGAGCCCAGAAGAACTTGATGATCTCCAGACATCGCTTATCTATTTAGAGCAAGACTTGGACGTGGATCTAGATAATGAAAATCTTAAAGTAAAATTTGTTAATGGCCTATCATTAGAGAATATAAAATACGTATATTTCCGAATTGACAATAATAAACCTCTGAATGAAATAATCGAACGTTTAAAAAATATTGAATTACCTCCTCCAGATAAAACAGTTTCAAACTTCATGCCATTGTAGATTACGCAAAAAGGATTTCTTAGATCCATTGAATTTTTTTGTGCAAAAGTGATTGGCGTGAACAATTGCTCACGCGCACATGATTTTTCATGATATGTAAATTGTTCGATCATTTCAGTGTCGCGTCACTTAAATTTGAATATAATGATAAGCCTATCTCAAAATCTATATAAATATTAAGTCCATCTCAAACTTCGAAAATGGAAAATACAATTATTGATATCAAGCTAGCTAGAACTTCACAAGAGGAAGATATTATTAATAGATTAAACGAATTAAGAAATCCTCCTCCAAATTACTATGATATCTTTAAACAAGGAAAAATCCTGGATAGGAAAGAAAGTGGGTGTCTGGCTAGGCCTGGCTAAAAATTTGTATGAATTGAGTATGGTTTTTTCCCCATTCCTCCATAAGATTATCGAGCCATGTAGTATTTGAACCACTCTTTAGAATATTGTGACGTAATAATTCTTCACCTATCAGCCTATCCCGATCAGTTAAAAATTTATGATATTTTCTAGGATCTTCCTTTCTCTCTAATGCACCTTGATAAAAGCGTATATCTCTTTCCAAGTCATTACGGAAGCATTTCATGGCCCACCTATTTTTCTCAGCTTCAGTAACAATCGAAAATTTCTCAGGATCCTCTCCATGTTCAATGGCATATTTATAAAGACATTCCATTTTATTTGGATTAGTCCCAGAAATTGGGAAGTTGCGGGAGTAACAAGGCTCTGCCTCTCAGGTTTTGTTTGATACACTTATCTTCGTTTTGGAATTTATCCAGGGATCGAGCCCAGTTTCTTTCTTATATCTTTTATATAACTTGGAACGAATTTTATCTGTTAAAATACTTGGTAAACCAGTTAA